TATAAAATTAAAATTTATAATAATATAATAATTATATAATAATAAATTATCAAGTTAATATACATATATTATATTAATATATAATAAAAAAATATATATATATTAAAATTTTATATCAATATAATTTTATCATATTATTCAATTATATTTACATTTATATAATCATCAAATTTAAGTTATATTTCACTTACCAGTATTAATATGTTGTACATTATTAACTGGAGAAGGTGGATTATTCGGTGGAGGTGGAGGTAGTGGTTTAACGACAATTCTTGGAAGGGTACGCGAATTTCCAGCTGCAATCGTTGTATTTTTTCTACGTCTTTTGGCCTGCTGTCGTAATGCATGTTTAATAACTTTTTTGCTGTGCACCATGCTAGAATAGCCAGAGCAACCTGGACTAGTTTCACACCCTTCACCTTTGGCAAGTTCTACATCTGTGTCCATGACAATACCTATACTGCGAACATCATTGATCGAAATGCCGGCAAATCGAACATAAATCCACAATAGCACTGTATTCAATTAAATGCAAATTTTTTAAGTTTTATTTCATATTGCAGTAAAAAATTCAAAAAACGATAACCCTGATTTGAGAAATAAACATTCTTTAGTAACAGCACTTTCTTGACATTTCGGTACAATCAAAGAAACTTTGATAATTTACATAATATTTTCTAATCCATTTCGTTTAAAAAATTGTACATGCACAAAATTTAAACGAATTTATGAATTTTACTATTTTTTAATCCATTGGCAAAATGCCATTCGGAAAAACTCGCAAAGTTCCGCTTCTATCGGCCATATTGTATTTACATATTTATACCAGAAAAGCGCCATCAAGACATAGAGTGCTTTTTAGTTTCATAGATATTATATATTATCTATATTAAATTCGATGCTATGGTTTTTATTATGGAATTTAAAATTAAAAATTTTTAAATTTTAAAAATATAAATTTATTCAAAATAACAAAATCAAAATTCAAAAAATTCGAAATTATTTTATAATTTATATTTAATTTATATTTAATTCAAGTAATAAATAAAAATATAATATTATCGATAATAAAGATTAAAATAGATATATAAAGATGAAAACAATAAAGATATTAATATAATAGAAATATAATTTAAATGATAATTATGAATAAAATAAATAAAAAAAAAATATGTATTTTGCAATACAAGAGCAATAAGAAAATATTTCTAATCATGATAAAAAAGATTTGTATTTTTAATTGAATTATCTTATTAAAAATTTCATAGATTCTGTTATTTTATAAAATAATCTTAGTTTCATTTTATTATTTATGTGCAAAAAGTATTATATATGCATTTTATAAATAATAAATCATGTGCTATACTTCTTTAAAATTATGAAAATCTTTTATGAAAATTTTGCCGCCCATTTTGATTTCACTGTTTTAAAAATTATAAAAACTAACAATGAATATTTAACATCTAAAAAAATTTTCAACAAAAATGTTTCATTCCTTTTATAATCTAAGATATATTACATATTATTTAAAAAATAAATTAGTTAGAAAATATATTAAATTTTTGTGCAAAATCAACCTAAGGATTTTTTTCTTATAATGGCCATTCTACATTTCCCGCCAACATGGCAAACATGGCGGAGCTCGTATCGTTTCCCGCCAAGCCCTCACAGAGCTCTCGTATGGCGCAACTTGGTTGTGTAGGAGTATAAATTAATCGTGTTTTTTTGTGGTTTTTCTGGAGTTTTTCGATAAAAATGGGACAGTCAGATGATGTAGAAGATTCTACTTATAGTAGACATCAAGATTTGTGTCAGAAATTAAATATGGATGCAACTGCTGCATCTGAAGCTTGGAAATCTTATGAGACTATTCGACAAAATTATACTCTTGAGGTATTTTTTGAATTACTTATTATTGAGAATTATTTCATATCGTATTAATTGTTTAAGTTTAAGCATTTTAATTTCTCTATCTTTTATCCATGAATCATATATATATTGCTTTTGCAATTTATTTATGATATACAAATTGTTTAATAATTAATATTGCTGAATTCGCACTTTGTTTTACTCAAATGATTAAAGCGCACCAATTTAAAACAATAAGATAAAATTTTAATTAAGTGTATTGATTTAAGAATATAAGAAATATTTTTATCTAAACAATAATTAAATTATAAAAAAATTACATCTATCACAATTTAATCTTATATTATTTATAAATTGATTAATGATTTATAAATTAAATGATTTATAAATTTTATATATTTCATTTACTTATATTTTTTTATAATTTATTTGTTTAATGTTATTCATGAAAATATAAGATTTATATATATTTTTTCTATATATAATTATTCATATATAAAGATTATTTGTTTTTTTAGGGTGATCAATTACATTGGATAGGGTGTGCATTATATGTAGCTTGTCGTAAGTCTTCTATACCTACTGTTGGAAAAACTGGTACTAATGTGGAAGGCAATTGTGTTTCATTGACACGTTTATTACAATTGTGTAATCTTCCTTTAATACAATTTTTTACAAAAAGTAAGTCTTGGGCTGATATGGCTAATATGCCACAAGATTTTCGTTCAAAGATTGAAAAACTAGAAGGAAATTTTGCTGTTTCTATGGTTATATTCAAAAAGTATCAACCAATTTTCACTGATATATTTAAAGATCCTGTAGATGATATTTCAAGACCACCAAGATCTAGAAGGCACAAAGCAATGCCTTGCACACCTGCAAGAGTATTTGAATTTTGTTGGACTTTATTTATTTGTATAAAAGGAGCATTTCCAGATATTTCTGATGATTTGGTTAATTCTTATCATCTTCTTTTAGTATGTTGTGATCTTATATATAGCAATGCTTTATTGGCTAATAGAAAGGATCTTTTAAATCCTAATTTTCCTGGTAAATATGTGCTGACTACATAATATCAAATAAAAAAAAATTGTTTTCATTTATATACTTTTTGACAGGTTTACCATCAAATTTCAATGATGAGAATTATACTCCACCACAGACAGCAAATTGTATAGTTAGTTTATTATGTGAACGTCATGAGGCTATTGCAGTTGAAGCTAAAGTAATTAAGGAATATTATTTGAAGAATCATATTAATAAATTGTTCAATGAAAGAGTTTTACGTGGTGATCAGTCAAACTTTTCTGGTATTTTAGAAGCTCTCAATTTTGATGGCAATAGCAAAGCTATCAATAGAGTTTATGAACAACATGTATTAAGTGTTGGAGACTTTGATGAAAGGATTTTCTTAGGTAATTGTTTTTTTTTTTTTT